TTGTTTATGTTCTTATCTCTTCTGAATTTATCTCTGAATCTTTAGGGAATATAATGATTGTTCCCTAAGATTAACAATATTAATTTCTTGTCATACTTTGAAATCCCACTTATCACCCAAATTAAAAAGTGAATTAGTATCTTTAATTCTTTAGATGTTTTCTAAAAATAATTAAAGTTCTTTTTTTTTTAAGATACTATGATTTCGACCGAGTACTTTTGCACTTAATCCTAGCTACTGAAGTATATTAGATGCTATTAATAGTGATATGCTAGCCACTTAATTTCAGGTATTTTCCTATATTTTTAAGTTATTCAAGTTATTTACTATATCAAATGCATCCCCTTTGATATGCTCATCTAAGCATAACATCCTAACCCAGCAACTCAAACTGCTTGTTATAATCTGAATTAGGTATTTAACATCAAAGGTACTATCAAATTTGAATAGAGAGATTATTTCATCTATAGTGAACGTCATCACTATTCTTACCAATGATCTAGTGAACTATAGCCAGGATCTAATTACTTAGTTTGGCATGACTACAACTATATAAAGAGCCGCAGGGTTTATAGGATAGTATCATAAGATTTATCTAGACAGTGATCTCCAGTTACGCATATAGACTATATCAATTAGATAACTTTGATACTTATAACGTTAAACAACTCAGAAATTGAACCTGATCTCTAACCCTAGTGACAGCTTGAATAAACGATACTGCAGGTATGCAATGCAATATATTATTACTGCTGATATATTCTACTAAATTCTGGCTAATTACTTTCTTAATTTATATATAATCTTATGATCATATACAAAAATAAGGACCACTGCCATGTGAGACGTAAGATTGTATCCATTATAGACCAATCAGCAAAGACCAAGTTTCTGTTGATCTAAGGTTTCATTTGCATCTATATATTCTAATGCTATACAGTATTTAGGTATGATCAACATTGATTGATAGATCAATCAACCAGATTTGTACGTATGTTGTACATACATCTATCATTTCAGCTACATATGAAATTCTTATGAAAATCATCTAGTTTTATGTATCGGCTGATACCTAAACTGATAGCCTATTGCTGTATAATGAAACTTTAGCTTAATAAGAGACTTTCAGTTTAATTACTAAACCAGAGATGCTGATCCCAATTTTTTTTTAAAAAAATCAATTTCGATTATATTTATTTTACTAGTATGATTGTTTTTGTATAAATACCAATTAACACAATTTAAAATACTGTGTTTATATAATAAACAAATTTGTTAAAACTTGTGAAAAATGTCAAGCTAATTTTTAACTTGTTTAAATATCATTTTAAATCTTTTAACGCATTGATAAAATGTAGTATTAATTTTCATAATATTTCAGTATTATCTTTACTACTAAACTTAAGATCATATTATTTTAAGATTTGTTGGTAGTATTTTTAAAATTGTTCTCATTTTAATCTAAATTATAAAAAAATAAAAGCTAAATTAAGTTAATTTGATTGATATTAGTTATATTAGATTAAAAATTGGATAAAATTAAAATTTTAATTAAAATTCAGAAAAGTTATAAGTTTTTAAACAAACTCTTATTACTTCAATATTGTTATATCCTCTTTATCACTTTTATCACTACTGTGTCAAGTTCACTTTCTTTGATAATTATCATCTGATTTTTCATCTCTACATCTTCATTATTAAGTTCATTTCATAAACTCTTATTTTGATGAATAAGCACTTCATTATATGAAGTAGCTTTGTTGAATTCTGTTTTTAATTTCTTCAATTTTTCATTTGCATTATTGAGTTACCTGCTTAACTTATTGATTCTTTCACGTAAATAGGCTTTTTTATAGAAAAGTTAACAGTAAATTAATAAAAAAATATATTGGCTAAATTTTTGCAATATATCAATTATACTTATCTTCACTTAATGAAGAATTAGTAGCTTTAGAAGGAAAAATATTTCTTCTTCTTAGTTGATAAGGAATTACATTCATTTTATCACATCCTAATCTGTGATCTTATATGTATTGATATAAAGAATATTTTAATTTATCACCTTAGGATATGCTGAATTGTCGATGAAAAGGAGTAATTAAAGCTTTGCATAAGCCGAGCTAGCTTACGAGCCTCACAAGTCAGCTCGCAAAAGCTCGGTTTGAACTGCTATAAAATGGCTTGTGAGCTGATCAAGCCAGTTCATGATGCAGCTCGACTCATCGGCTTGGATTTTTCATTTTTGAAAAAAAACAATCCAGGAGTATTAACTTCAAAGAAAAACACTTTCAGCAACGATTTCTTCAAAGTTAAATGATTCTGAAAATAATTCTTCAAAGTTAAATGATTCCAGCAATGATTTCTTCAAAGAAAAAATGATTCAGTAACATTTTCTTCGAAGAATAATGCTTTTGGAACGTTTTTTAAATAAAATCACCTTCAGAGCTTTTTTTTTAAATGACAATGCCTCCAGAGCATTATTTCTAATTAATAACGCTTTGGAAGCGTTATTTTTAATTTATAATGCTTTCTGAATGCTATTTTTAATTAATAACACTTCTGGAGCATTAAATTTAAAAAAAATAATGCTTCCAAAGCGTTACATTTAATAATAACGCTTTCAAAGTGTTACATTTAATAATAATGCTTTAGGAGCGTTATTTTTAATTTATAATGAATTAGAAGCGTTATTTTTAAATTATAATGCTTCTGGAGTATTTCTTTTAAATAAAAGCACTTCTAGAGCGTTAAATTTAAAAAAAAACGCTTCTGGAGCATTTCTTTTAAATAAAAGCACTTCTAGAGCGTTAAATTTAAAAAAATAACGCTTCTGGAGTATTAAATTTAAAAGATAATGCTCCAGAAGCGTTATTAATTAAAAATAATGCTCTGAAAACGTAAATCTTAAAGAAAAATCGCTTCAGGAGTATAATTCTTAAAGAAAATGCTCCTAGAGCAAAATTCTTAAAGAATAATGCTCCAGAAGCGAAATTCTTAAAGAAAAGTGCTCCGAAAGTAAATTTCTTAAAAAACAATACTTTGGAAGTGAATTTCTTAAAAAAAAATGCTCTGAAAGTGAAATTCTTAAAGAAAAGCATTCCAGAAGTGAATTTCTTAAAGAAAAGTGCTTCAGAAGTGAATTTCTTAAAGAATAATGCTTCAGGAGTATAATTCTTAAAGAACAATACTCTAAGAATATAATTCTTAAAGAAAAATGTTCTGGAAGCATTTTCGCTTCAAAAAAATCGATTTGGAGACGTTTCTCTTGAAGGAAACTATTTCAGAAATGATTCTTTTGAAGGAAATTGCTTTTCGAAACTTTTCAATTACTCTAAAATTTTTTCCGATTTTTGTTAATAATATAAGCCATATGAGCCAGCTTGTTTGGCTCGCGAGCTGGCTCGGCTTGCCACATTTTGGATTTGAGCTGAGATGACTCGTGAGCTGAAATAATTCAGCTCAGCTCGAACCAGCTCATGCAGAGCTTTAGGAGCAATACTCCTTTTATTATTTCTTTTATAGCTTCTTTCATGATATATTGTAAATCTTTTAGGTATCTTATAATAGAAAGCTGATGATGTCTGTAAATCCTGATTATTAGCTTCTAGTATAACATCTCTAATTATATTAGCGATCTAAATTTTGCTATGTAATATTTTTTCGATCCTATAATTTAGTAAAATATCATAATTACTACTTAGTCACATTGAAGAGTATCAACTTTCATTTTTTTAGGTTAAATTTTAGTTGTTTCTTTGAAAATGTTTAATGGTACTATTAATTTGAATGATTCTTTTTTGATCAGAGCCTACTTATATGAAGATTTTGGTGACTTTGAGATGTCAATACCTATTAATGTAATGGTTTTTGACTACTTAGAATTAGTATTAAAACCTGCTGATATGAAGTTTTTGGCTGCTTAAAGATATTAAAATTAATATCAAAATTTGCTGACATATTTTCTGACTACTTGAAAATATTAAAAGTGTTATCATATTCTGCAAACATGTTTTTTAGCTATGGATCCTGCTGATATGTTTTCTAGCTACTTGAATATGTCAAAGTTATTATCAGATTTTGCTAACGTAAAGTATCTAGTGTTTTTTGATTACTATGAGTTTTTGTTATTTTCTGAATTACTTATTAATATACAGCTTCTTAATAACATGTTTGCTGACAATTTGCTAATACTGCAGCTTTTTTCAACCCATATTTTTAGTTATATTTGTGATAAAATATTAGTAAGAAAATGAGAAAAAAAGAAAAATAATATTAGCAAAAGAGAGACAAAATATTATTTGTGAAAAAAAGTGAGAAAACAATATATGTGAAAGAGAGACAAAATATTATTTGTAAAAAAAAAGTGAGAAAATGATATATGCGAAAGTAATAGTGATACCTGATGAAATTACTTTCTTAATATGACGAAATTGATGAAACCGAAATGATGAAACTAGTTTTTTATTAATGATGAAATATTTTACTTAATTGCCAAAATTATATTTAACTTGATCTAAATTCCTTAAATTAAAATACATTAAAAAATATAATAATTTTATATTTATTCATATAAAAATATTAAAGAGATGAAACTTTTGACGAAATTACAATTTTTCAAAAAAGTGTTTAGTCAGGTATCATTAGAAAGTAAGATAAAATAATGTTTTTAGCAAAAAAAAAAATAATTATTATTTTTTTTTGGCTGTAATAAAAATTAAAATGCAATTAAAATCTCAATTTAATTAATCAATTTGCATGTTACACTATCCTACACCCGTTTAATATGTGATAATATCGAATTTTGCGAAATTTTATTGGTCATTGTAAGACGGTTAATAACGGGTAGTTAACATCACCGGATCTTGAGATATAATAATTAATCTGTTATATTGCGTTATTATAATATCACTTGATCCGGTGATGTTATCCACCCGTTATAGTTATTATTAAAACTGAACATCTATCAAAAAAAAAAAATTTATAATTTTCTTCTTTCGATAATGAAATCCAATTCAGCAGAAATTGAAAATACGGCTAATTCTTTATCGAAAGATTTAAAATTTGCATTAGATAATCATTTGTTTAGTGATATTAAGCTAAAAGGAAACGACGGAGAAGAAATAAATGCTCATCGAATAATATTAGTGTCACGTTCAGAGGTGTTTAGGCGTATGTTATTGAATGAAATGAAAGAATCCACACAAGAAGTAATAGAATTTCCAGAGTTTTCTTCGAAAACTTTACATGTTATTCTTGAATATTTATATACCGAGAAAGTGACAGAGAAGACGTTGAAGATTGATATCATCGCTAAAGCTTTTCATAGTGCTGATTATTTTTTACTTGAGCAACTAAAACTTCAAATTATTGAGTTTGTTTTACATGATTTAAAGAGCAAGGAAAATAAGATAAATATTTCAGCTAAGGTTCTATCCCAACTTTTGGAATGTATGGATACATCTAATAATAAGTTGGTTGATACACTTTGCATTATTATTAATTCTGCTCCATTAAAATCTATTGAATATTGTAATTTAACCGACAAAGCGTTGAATTGTATTTTATCAAAGATCAATAGGGAAGAGAATACGATATTTTTCAAAACTGAATATGAATTATTCCATTACATTATATTATGGACTGCAAATAATATCTCGGAAGAAGCTTTATTATTTTATAATTCATATTTGCCTTCTCCGGAAATTATTGAAAGATTTATCGCTACACACATGAAAGAGTGGAACGTTCATTCCTTATCTAACACGGAAAAATCTCATGCAATATACCGGTCAACAATGTTATCAATGACTTCATCTCTACTTAATTATGTGGATATAGGACAAATTCATCCATCGATTATTTCCGATATAATTGAACCTCTTAATGGTATAGTTGATTCAAATATATTATTAGATACATATCGGAAAAAAGCTTTGTTAGCTGAAAAGTATTCTAATATACTGATGAGAGTTGCTTTACTTCAATGGGATGGTCGTGCACGTGGTAGTAAGATGAACTTTGACACAAGTCCTTTTATTGTTTTTACGAATTCCTCATCACATGAATGGATTAGAACTTCATTACCAATAATCGGTCAAGGTTTGTTTGAATGGGGTATTGTAGTTGAAGAAATTTGTTGTTATTTTTGGGTTGGAATTTGTACTGAGAATGGATTTGACGTAAATTACAACTCATGGCTTGGAACACAAGCATACGGATGGGTTCTTGGTTCGAATGGAATAATTTGTCATAATACGCAGCAAGAAAATGGACCTTATACAAATCAATATGGAGAAGGATTTGATAAAAATGATAGAATTATTGTGCATTTAGATATGAATGAAAGAACTTGCTCTTTTACAATAAATGGAACAAGATATCCTGTAGCCTTTAGTAATTTACCCGATGTAGTTTATCCTTCAGTATCTTTATGTAAACCTGGAAAAGCGAGGATTGTGTCAATTTGATCGTTTACAAATAAAAAAAAAATTTCAAGTTTGGAAATAACTCTGATACATGAAGATTATAAATTTGTGTATTAAAAATTTTTGACCAATAATTTCAATTAATATATAGTAAATTGAACTTACATCATATTTTTTTTTAATACGAGATTTCCAAATGTAAAATTAAAAATTTTTTAACTTGCGAAAATTTTAAAAATTTTAGATGTGTGCGCATTTGTACAAAATAAAGCTTTAAAATCTAACCGGATTATTAATCTTTATAAATCGATAATCTACATAAAACACTAATCCGATAAAGTAAAACATTGAATCCAATCAAATTGTTACTGCGGTTAATCCGGATAAACCCTTTCATTAAATCACCTAAATTTTAAACCCCTTTTTTCGCATCCTTTTTTATTTTCACAAAATGGACAACTTATTAAATGAATTAAATAAATTTAATGTTAAAACCGAAGAAGAAATATTTGTCGACCAATTTTCAAAATTAACTGCTAATGTTAACAACAAAAGTACAGAAAATCAATCAAATCCTTTAAAGCCATATGCTACTCATCAAATGTTTGGTAAAGATATTCTCCATACGACAACACCTTTAAATCAAGAAAACGTTAATATTCCTTCTATTAACACGATCTCAATGGATAACAAAATTTGGCAAGACCAATTTAAAAATAAAGATTATGCAGAAATGATAGGTTGGAATCAACCACCAAAGGTAATTGATGATGAGGATTGGGGAAATTTACCAGATGTAAATACTAGTGTGGATCCAAATAATCAATTTGGAATGACCTGTTGTCTTAGTTCTGAAATTCTTAATTTGGGAAATGCTAATGTCCATCAACCACGTATTTTCGGATCGGGATTTGTTAGTAAGGCAAAAAGTTACGATAATAATAGAACCGAAACTCAACTCAATCAAGGATTTGCAACTGAAGATAAATTTAAAATAGCTAATGAATGAATGATCGAAATATTTTAAATATTTTATTAAATTTCATTATTTAAATATATATAGGTGGTCATTTATCAAAATTAAAAATAAATTATTATATTTTACCATTTGGCAAAATTTCACAGAAGATATTCAAATTTCTTCATGATTTTTGTAACGTATTAACTTTTTCCCTAAAAGTTGAGATAACTTCTTTAGGATTTTCAGCTTTAAAAACTGAAGTACCAGCTACAATGACGTTAGCACCTGCTTGAACTGCTTGATCAATTGTATCAAGAGCAAGCCCACCATCTACTTCAATATCAAGTTCAGGGAATTTTTCTCTTAATATTTTTACCTAATTAATTCATAAAGTATAAGTATAATCAAGCTTCAAATTTCAAATTTCAAAAAATAAAATATAAATAAATTTACCTTTGGCATGCAATCGGTCATAAATTTTTGACCTCCAAAACCTGGTTCAACGGTCATTACTAAACACATGTCAATTTTGTCAACCAAAGAATAAACAGTGTCTATTGGAGTCTTTGGTTTAATAGCTACTCCAACTTTCATTCCTGCTTTCTTAATCTTTTCAATTAAGGCTTCAGGTTCATTTGTTGCTTCTATATGAAAACAATACATTGAAGCCCCTGCTTTCGCAAAGTCATCTACCCACTACATTTATAATATTTTAATTGAAAAATTTTTTAATTATTTGATGAATTCAATAAAGGAAAAAGTTTTATGTACCTTTTCTGGATTTGATACCATCAAATGGCAATCTAATATAAAATCAAATTTAGTACAACTTTTTTTTAATAAATCGAGAATTGAAATTGATTAACTTGCCCAAGAATACATCGGTATGTTTTCGTAAGGATTGAATTACGGGGGCACCGATTGTTATATTAGGGACGAAATGTCTACGGGAAATGGAAAAAGTTCTGATTAAATAGAGAAAATAAAAATTCGAATTATTAATAAAGTCTCTTACCCATCCATAACGTCTGAAACGAATCAAGGAGAAAATAATTAAAAAGAATTAACTTTGATAAAGATATTAAACAATTTAGGACATCAAAAATATCCAAGGCCTACCCATATGCAACCAATCAGCACCATTTTTGACCATACGATGGGCTTCAGCTGCAAGTGAAGAAAAATCACTGGATAGCATAGAAGGTGAAATTTTTGCAATGGGCATTTTTTGATAAAAATAATTATAAAAACTTCCTAATTTTTTAATTTTGAGAACATCAATTACAATGCTAGAAGTATTTATATAAATTTAAAAAAAAAATTATTCGAGGGAAAAGGGGAGAGAGATTAACAGTTCCAAAAGTAATAGTGGCCCCCGATCTTGCATCATGATACTTGATAATGCAATGCCACGGACGATTAGCGTGTGAAATGTTTTAACTGAAGTAATGATCGTCTTACATTTTTTAAAATATAAAGCTCAGAGAAAATTAGTCTATTTTTAATACAAAATGAATTTCGAAAATCCAGAATTTTTACTAGATTATGAACGTCGCGGTTCCGAAAGTGATACCTTCCGGAGACCTTCTTATAAAGAAAAGTAATTGTTTTTTTTCAATCTTTAATATTTATTTTTAAACATCGCACTAATTTTATAATTATAACAAAAAAGGTTTCATACAAAAAAGGCGAAACAAATTATTCAGCAAGTTGTTTCAGGGAAATTAGATCAAGCTATATATGATAAAGATCAAGCACCAGGTTGGGCTAATGAGATTGCGGAAGAAATTAAAAATAAATTATTGGGTAAGTGAAATTTTTGATAAAGTTGAATAATAATATAGAAAGACATTAACGATATTTATCAATACTATAGAAATGGAACTTAGTAGGTACAAGTATATTGTCAATGTAACAATATTAGAAAACAAAGGAGCTGGTGCTCGGTAAGGATCATTGAATAATTTATTTATTTATAAATAAAGGATAAATTTATCTGATTCAATTATATAGTATACAAGTGAATGGTTTATGGGATTCTAGTTCTGATAGTTATGCACAGGAAATTTTTAAGAATAAGAATGTATGTATGATGAGTAATGACGATATTAATTTAATTTTTTTTTTTTTTTTTGATTGAAGACTAATCTCTCTTTAAATTCGGATTTCGCTAGGAAACAATTATATGTGTGGTATTGGCATTTGGAGTGTACTTTTATTAAATATTTAATTCAAGTTGAATCTATTTATTCTTGAATATTTGGTGCGGTATCATATAGCCAATTACTTTGAATTGCAGATACGTGTTTCATGTAAGGTTTCGAGGTCAACACCTAAAAGAGCGAGAGATTAAAATAATTAAATTAAAAATAACCAAAAAAAAAAAATTCTTACCAATTCAGTATACATGACCGCTTCCAATTTTTTGTTAAATAAGGTAGAAGATGGATGGATATTCACGCTCTAAAGTAACATACAGAGGAGAGGTCATTAAAAGCATATTAAAAAAAGAAAAAAAATTTAATCGTAATTACCTGATTACTAAAAACGGTCCTGTAATTGTTTGTAGGTTGTAATATAGCAGAATTACGAAAAAATCCACATAACATACATTTTAAAACTATTTCATATTCGTTTCCACAAGAGCTATTAGTTGGTATCCCCATTCTTGTGCATAATTGAATTAATTGTTTTCTCACGTCCTTTATTATAAATAAAATTTAAACCATTTAGCAATTTATCGAATATTTTAAAAAACATTACTTTTAAAACACTTACAATTACATGTTTCATGTTACGCCTATTAATAAAATTTTGGTAGCACCATTCAGAATTTCCTTTTTGTGTTTCGTATGATCTCAATACGTTAAGAAATGTAATTAAATCTCCGAATGGTGACATAAATTTCTTTTTCGCATCACTTGCGTGTTCTCTTTGATCTTGTGGTGAAAAAAATATTGAATCTACTGAAAGTAATGAAACGATCTCGATTGCTTCACGTGTACATGACAGTTCCTATATGCATCAAATTTCAAGTATAAACATGTTATTTTTTTTAAAACAAAGATTACAAAAATTTCTTTAATAGATTACCTGTGATGCTATAAGAACTCTTGCGTAAGATGGTTCAAGCGGAAATTCTGCCATTTTTTTACCAAGCTCTGTTATTTTTCCTTGATTATTAAGAGCTTTAAGAATGTATAGATGTTCCAAAGCTTTTTTTACTAAATTATAAATTTCTTATTAGTCATAAAGCAAAATCATTTTTTTTTTAAAAAAAAACCATTACGTACATAAAGTTCTTGACGGTGCATCCATATAATCAAATCCTAATACATCATCTATTTCTAATGCTTTTAGTAATAAGATAACTGATGAAAGGTTACATCTCTTGATCTCAGGTTCGGTGTCCTTTTCCATTTTATTATATTCGTCTTCCGTAAAAAGGCGATAACAAATTCCTGGTGCCTAAATGTAGTATTATTAACAATAAAATTCGTTATAGTAATATATTTCATAAACTCTTTTTGTAAAAAACGATTTAACAATAATACCTCACGACCAGCTCTTCCCAACCTTTGGTCTGCTGAATTTTTTGAAACATTTTCTATCGATAAACTTTCCATACCAATTTTTGCATTAAATTTACGTATTTTGCATTTTCCGGTATCAACGACATATCTTACGCCTCTAATTGTAATTGAAGTCTCTGCTATATTCGTTGCAAGTATTATTTTACGAGTTCCAGGTGGTGCGAGATTAAATACCTTGGTCTGCTGTTCTGTAGGCAAAGCGGCAAACAACAAACACGTAATAACCTATATACCGGATAAAATAAAAAAAGGTAGTTTTAATAAAAATTATAATATCGAATTTAACAACATTTTGATCGTTACCTTTAATTTATCCGGGGGAAGTGAAGTACCATAATCATTAATCAATTTTTCAAGAATTTCAATATCTTCTTGACCTAAATAAAGTTATTCAGGATAAACATGTGACATTATAGAAAAAGAACTAAAAAAATAAGGTTTTTTGGTTACCAGGTAAAAATACCAAGATATCACCCTTAGGTTGATCCATGTGAATTTGCATTGTGGTCGTTAAAGCAGCATCCAAATAATCGGATTGTGGTTCCGATGAATAATTAATTGTAACAGGAAATTGCCTTCCAGGAATTTTCAATATAATAGAACTGTACTAGCAATTAACATATAGATATATAAATTAAATTCAACAAATGACACAACCATAATAACAATAACAATAATTAAATTTCCACCCACGTGTTGAAATATTTAGCGAACTTCGCAGCATCAAGTGTAGCACTCATAATAATGATTTTTAAATGTTCATACTTTTTGCCTTTTTGGTTGATTGAATTTTTTCTAGTTTCTTGAGCCTTTTTAACCATGGCAAAAAGAATATCTGTACGCATTGTCCTTTCATGTGCTTCATCTAATATTACAGTTGAATATTTTAATAATAATGGATCTGATAATAATTCTCTTAATAACATTCCATCCGTTAAGTACTTCATTAATGTAGAATGCGATGTTTTATCATCAAATCGTACCGAGTATCCAACCTTCAAATCGAGAAAAATCACGTTAAATAACATTGCGTAATCATTATCCGAAAATGAATGACAAAAGTACAAACCTTTTGTCCTAATTTTGTACCAAATTCATGTGATACCCTACTAGCTAAGCTTATAGCGGCAACACGTCTTGGTTGAGATATAGCTATAATTCCTTTTTTTAATGTAATCAAACCAGCTTCAACCAGAAATTGTGGTGTTTCTATAAAAATTTATAAAATTTTTTTTTAACTATATATTTTATCATTAGTTAATAAATTATTTAATTCATATACATACGAGTGCTTTTTCCGCTACCCATTTCTCCCATAATAATAATAGTATCATTCTCTTTTAATTCTTGTACCAAATTATTCCGCTCTATATAATATAATTAAAAAATATATTACAAGAGAAACATGAGTTTTCTTTTTTTTTTTTAAAAAAAAAAAAATAATTCTTGGGTTAATTTAATTACCTTGCCAAATTGGTAACTCTTTCCGGAATTCGATCAAATTCGAATCAGCCGTATTTTTTTTTGAATTCTTTTTAAAAGATTCATTATTTGATTTTATTTGATGACTTTTGCTATTACCCGTCTTAGGAATATCTATATTTTTAGACGGTTGCTTACTATCTTTATCATTTTTCTTTTGAGGATTTTGTTTATCATTATTCGTTTTAGATTTATCTGTAACTTTTTTTTTATGAATTCCTTTATTATGATCTATTTTTAAATTCTTTTTACTTTGTTCTAATTCTTCTACATCCTTTTCATTTTTACGTTTTCTATTTATTTTCATTTTATTTTCATTTTTTTTTTTGAAAAGTAATAATCCATCTATTTAAAATTAAAATTTCAAGCACGTGCACGATTATGCATTTATATATAAATGGTTAGTCAATTCATTATTGAATTTTTTTAATAGACGAAAAAAAAAATTTCCATGATTTAATGATTTAAATAATACCCTTTTTTTAATGATCAAAACTATTTTTTAATTATAAACATAAGAAATAAAAAGAGTCTAAATTTGAAAGTACAAAAAAAATATACAAAATATTCGAAGACCAATACAGAAAAAAAATATATAAACTACAAAGAATCATACAAACCATTTTTTTTTTTTTTTTTTTTTTTTTTTTGGAAATCGACCTTCAAAAAACTGATTGTCCCGTTCAAATTAAAAGATCTTTCTTTCTAAACAATTTTTTTTTTTTTTTGAAACCCATTTATCGACAACATTGTTCATATTCGTCTTCCGTATCAATTATTTCGATATCTTTTTCAGCTCGAGGTAATTGCGCCCATAAAAGAATCTTTTTCCCTAAAAATGGGGGAAGAAAAGATTTTAAGGACAGAATGATCATTTTAAAAATACACCGGTTTAATCACTTAGCAAGAAGCAATACAAATAAAAATACCTTCGGGGTCTAATCTCTCTTCGCTCGTAACAGACTCGGTATGAAACATCCAAAGATGACCATTGTTACAAGCTTCCATACATTGTTGACATGGCTGAGTAATATGATATCCTAGAACATTCCCACTAATTAAATTAATAAATAAATATATTCTATTATTATTGAGGGAATATATATGTATATATATTTATATTTTCTTTTAAAAAATAATATATTACCATGTAAGGCATGCCACATCCCGAATTTTACATTGACAATTTTGTGTCATATAGTCATCACCGACCAATTGTACCCTTTTGATTAAAAAATTAAAAAACAATTAGTCGTGTTTCCAAGATATAAATCGGAAAAGATCATAAATAATCAACGACACGCACGATAATGGCGGTACGTCAGTGGAATAAAGTTCAATTCTTGTATCAGCCAATAACATGGCCTATGATAAAAATAATGGGAACAGTGAATTGATATTAGTCAAATAATTCAACAATACTTTTTTCTTTTTTTTTTTTTGAATTATATTCTTCTTTACCTGAACATACTATGTGTGACTTTACCCACCCACTTTCAAATTTCGGACAGATTTTATATAGCTGCATCCAACCAAAACTCATTGATCAAATGCATTGACCTTATTCCTTAATTTATTTTTTCACCTTCCCATTGCCACACCATGAGTACCTACCTTCATTCCTCTAACGCACACACTATTGTTACAGTGCGCACAATTTAGTTTACAAACTGTCTTGCTACGAAAATGGTGATGCATGCTTTGGAGATCATCATCGTCTTGAGATTGTATAATAGGTGAAGAGGAAGAAGAGGTTGATAAAGTCGTTGAGGGCACTGTTGAAGGTATTGTTGAAGAATTATTTCCATTAATGTTGCTGCCGTTACTAATAATGTTGTTACTATCACTATTACTATTTCCACCGCCTCCTGCAGCGTGTATCATCCGACTAAACAGCAAGTTCCTCTCTCTATGGTTTCTTTGTCGATGGTGCAACCTTCGCACCCATCGAGTAGAGGGGGAAGAAGTTGAAGAGGAGGCACTAGTCGAAGAAGTAGCAGTTGGCGAAGTAGAGAATGCAGTAGAGGCAGTAAAAGTAAAAATCGGTGCTGGAGCCAGTGTTGGAGACGGAGCTAAAGGTGCCAGTTTGAAAATTGTATTCGTTAGCAGAAAAGAAAAAAAAAATCTTTTATACTTTATTTTCCTTTAGAACCTCAATTTTGTAGGACGTAAAAAAAAAAAAAAAAAGTTTAATCCAAACGAGATAAAAGAATAAAGGGCTGTTTTATATGGTGATTATGGTTGTACGATAATTCTTACTAACTAAATTGAGCAAATGACATGTCACGTTTATCCTCTTGCAGAGACGAATACATCTTTTTACCTTCCATCTTGTAAATGGAATTCATTCAACTTCTGAGACGATGATCGGTGATCTATGTTCTATGATAAATGCTACAATTGTAGAAAAAGAGCCAAGGAGAAAATCCAATTTTGTTTTCGTAGATGAATTATCTTAATAAGGTAAAATTCTTTATTTGATGAAGTAAATCAAAACATAATCACAAGACACAAGTGAAGATAAACATGGAATATTCCTTTTTTTTCAAAAAGATAGTGAACTTATTTAGTATCTTTTTTTATCTTTCAACTTAATTTTTTCCATCTCCTCGCTTTAAGTGGCTGTTCCTTTTTACTTTCTTCGACACTCGGTAACCAACTTACCGATAAAAAAGGAAAATTACGTGCATATATCCTGAATATCAAATTTTCTCGTTTGTTATTACTTAATTAGAAACCATACCGTTTATCAATTGATACTAGTTTTAAAAAATAAAAAATAAAAAAAAAAAAATTAACGTGAGTTCAAGAGAGAGTTGAGAAGTTATTCGCTTTTTAATAGTTTTTTTTTTTTCCTTTTTTTTTCCTTCCCTTTTTGCTAACTTTAATAGTAATAACATTAATAGTTAGTTATAAGTCAATCATTATCTTCGACAATCTACATTAATCTCTTCGAGTTTCTAATAACCCAAACAGTACTACTGATAGTTTAAACGTTTCATGGTAATATGAAAACTCCAAAATTGACAATAACCCAACCAGCAATGACGGAAATTAAACAAAGCACAATGAAACGAGTTATTTTAAAAGTTAACACAAAACTTCCGAGGTTATCTAGATCATCATCTTCCTTTACAGCAAGGAAATCACCATTTTTATCGAATCCGGTTAATAGCTTCGATGATATTGACACCGATCATTCTTCGATTGTACAAGAAAAATTATCTAATAAAGAGAATTTAGTGGAAGCACATAATCAACTTGAACATTTGGAAACATCCACAGATAACGATATTAAAGACGAGTATACAGCCGATAATAATGATAATCAAGAAGCTCCCGTATTAATGCGTAATATTGCAAAGACGATGTCAACTTCCACCACAAAGATGCAAAAGACAAATGTTATCGCAGCAGCAGCAAGATCATTACCAAAGAATTTTATGCGTTCTTTACGAGGTGATGCATCGAAAAAAGAAAATAATAACCCGCCAATTAATACGTTGATCACGACACCTTCGTTATCACCACCTGTCGTTAGTCAGTTTTCATACACATCATCAACAACAGTTATTGAAAGAAAAAAGAAAAATCGACGTTCAAGGAGTGAAAGTATTTCGATGACAGCGCAAGCTTTATCGAATATGTTAAAACGAAGGTCAAAACATCGGTCTGGTTCAAGCGATTCCATTTTAAAAAGGAATGATAATAATAGCGGAACACCTGCTTTAACTTATGAAAGTTTTCCTGATCCTGATCCCGATGATTTTTTTAATGTATATTCATGGGATATACCGGATTCTATTGTTTCAATGGAAGATGCTGGTGGTGTGCTGCAAATGATCGAATATGATGGAATATTTATAAATGGCGTTAAAGTTGATTAATAATTCATTCATTCATTTTTTTTTTATATATATATATATTATATATATTAATTCTCATTAGTCTCTCTTTAGAATTTCTTGTATCATATTTTATGATGTAATTTATTATATTACATTAACAACAATTTTGTCATTTAGTAATTCAGTTCGTATATATATACTCTTTCATTTCATGTGTATTTCTTTCTTTATATATCTTGTCTTATAAAATAAACCTTGTTCAATATCTTTATAAACATTTTTTTTTCTTTTTTTTCCGTTCTCTCTTGATCTTATTGTATTATATGTAGAATTTGTTTATTTATTTATTTATTTAATAAATTTATTATTCGTATGTGATTTTTTTTAAAATCTTTATTTATATACGTATAAATATCAAAGAACGTATTGTGGTCTTTTGACAAAGTGACACGGCTCATATGAACTCCGAATTTTTTCGGAGCTCAGACTTATTGTTTTTTTTTTTATCATACTTTTTAGAGGAATGCGCATCTTCACGCAAGAGAATAGATGTCTTGAAATTTAGTAATGAATATTGCTCTAAACTAGGGTATAATAGAATAGTATGTGTGTGAAAAGTGGTGAAAGCAGATTCCTGGATATTGAATTGAATTATGTAGCTCAAGGTAATTAAAGATATTTGATAATTTATTTCTAATCTGATTTTATTTATGTTAATGATTAATGTATATTTTTATTTATTTATTTATTTTTACAAAAAACAAAGTTGATCATTAAATATCCTGTTTTATAAGATTGCTAAACGCGTTCAATATGTTTTTTTTGTAGTGTGTACAGTTTGAGTAAGATTATCATTACATTGATATGGATTCTTTGAGAAGAAAAAATAATTCAATAAATCAACATAATACGATTGTAATGTTAATATAATGAAAGAATTTATATGGAATTATAAATGATCCTAAAGTTAATGATGCACTTAAATTCAATGCCTCCGTTAATAATAATTAAGAAACCATTTCATTTAGCATATAAATAATATAAATTATACTGATCAATAATCTTATTGCAAGCTAATTTCCGTGAATTGAAAATACGTTTTTTAAATACTATTTATTTACATTAAATTAAATGAATTCTTATATAACTTACTTTGATTATGAGATTGTCCTTGACTATTTATAAATTTCTGATTTTTTCTAAAAATTATTTTTTTTGATTCTTATTACAATAAAATAAAATATAAAGAAATACCAAGTGTGATTTAGACACCAAAATTTAACCTAAAAATTCTTTATAAAAAAAAAAAATTATCGTTTTGGATTAATCTATTCACAAAGAAGGAAATTAAATCCTGTAAGGACTATAATAACAAAGTTCGTGATATTACAAAAATAATTATTTTCTGGCAACATCATCAGCCTTCGCTTTAACTTTTTTCTTATTGGGGTTCTTCTTTGAAGATTGATGATCTTTCGACGGAAGGTCACGAGAATCTTCCACATTATTTACTTTTCTCTTTACTTTACTAATACTCGAACCATTTTTGTTATTTTTTGATGTTACGGGAAAATAATGATAAATCTCCTTCGTTTTTAAATCTTCTGACATCTCAATATCATAATCAATAGCTTCTTGTTTACGTTTTTCCATTGGTCTAAATCTGAACCTCAAATCTTCTATCATTCTTTCTAAAACCACATCATCTATCCAACGATTATTAGAGTTACAACAAATTTTAAAGTGTCTAACTTTCTTGGTGACTAATGCTGAATTAAAGCTTTTTTTACAATTTGGACATGATCGTGCAAACGTAAAGATGCTACTATTCTGTTGAACAAAATCATTCCTTATTTTTCTTTGTTTCCTTTCTTCTTTTTGTAGTTCTTTCAAGTCTAAATCATCTGATCCTTTTTTATTCATCAATTTTGGTGATGTTGGTTGAACAAATTCATCGTTTTCACTTTCTTCGCTTGTAGCTACAACTTGTTCTTCAGAAGTTACTTCAATTTCTTGATCATCCCTATTTGAGGAAGTGGAATCTTGTAAACCAATATCTTCATTAATCGAATCGTTATCAACAATAAGTTCATACATTAGGTTTTTCGTTGAAGAGAGAAAATTTCTGTTTCTTCAAACGGTCCAAAATATTTTAGTGCAATTGTTTCCATATTAGGATTAATTTACGTTACTTTAATTGGTCAGATCATGTGTAACATAAATAATATTTGGCTCTTATAAAAATACGCGACCTGTTCAAATGATATTAAACAATTTCGTGTTTTGCAAATTTTTATGCATTTCATTTTTATAATATAACAAATTCTTTTAAATATAAAAGTTATATCAATTCCAGTCACGGGACATGTCCTCCGTGATGATTTAATAGTAATTAATTTTTATGTAACTTATAATGACATGACTTTCTTGTAAAAATGCTTCGATTAACCTATTGCAAATGACATTTTGACCTTAGACAAGTTTTATTTTTCAAGTTTCACCTTTTCATTTTATACTAAGCATATACTTTTTTACTTAACTCTATGCCATTTAAAATGAGACTTGAAAAATGCTATTTTTTTAAAGTTTTAAGCCAGTTTTTTTGTCAAAAGACAGTAAATAAAGAGCAATACAAAATTCTAATAAGGAAAAAATTCAAATGTATAATTCAATGTAGTTAAAGTTTAATCTCTTGAAAAATGAATTTTCTTTTTATTATTAATTATTTAAATCGTTTCTTAATATATTATTAATAAAAAGTTATTTATATGCAGATATCAATATAATATTAACTATACTTTATTTATGAACCTTATGACAGATATTTTTCCAATACAGATAGTTTGAAGTTCTGTCAATGCTTTCATGATTACAATTTCAGGTATTTTTTCTTCAAATTCAAATAATTGAATAAGCATAGCTTTCCTGCTTTTATATTTATGTAACATATTTTTTTTGTATGTTTAATTTCAGAAGGTTGCAAAGTATATTGTTGAACAGTTGATAGATAAGTAAGGTTATCAACTTTTTGTTTTTTTATACCTTTAAGTTAAGTATAAATATAATGAATTATGTTTCATACATAATGTTCAGCAGTTATTCAAGATTCAGTTTTGTTTACGTCTTATAAAAGAATTTGTTGAGAATACAATTTACCAAATTCATAAAAAGAAAGAATTTTTTAACATCTATTTTATTAATTTCTGATGTATTTTCAAAAAATTCTGGCTTGTTATAACATCATCAGTATATTCTGCAAGAAGCATTGATAAATAATTTCTCTTACTTTGAGCTGTTTTAACCTTTAATATTATAGTTCTCTAATCAGTAAGATTTTTAGTAATATTTTATTTTATAAATTTTATAGCATATATTTCAAATGATTTAATCAAAAGCTAAATAAAATTCATCACTTACAAAATTTATTAAACATATCATTTATAATAATTTCTGTAATAGTAAGTCATCATAAACTTGAATCAAAAAGTATAATATAGAACTTGCATACTTAAACTTTCTAACTACAATAAAAAGAGATATAAATGCAATTAAGTTTGACATCTGTAATCTATAATTTACTCGTCTAATTCTAATTTTATGATTCATAAAGTATTCTATCTAATAGAAAAAAATTTAAACCTTTATAAATTAATTATTATCTTTTAAAATATTATTCATATTTTTCTTTTGTTTTCATATACTAATATAATGCAATTCTAATTACAATTCAGATTAATTTCAATACAACCATATTTAATAGTCTGCAAAACAAATGAAGTGAACAAAATTTCTACTTACAGAATTGCAGAATTTAGGAAATTTGGTGGTAATCTGGTTTAGGAAATTCCACCATTACGCATACAAAAGTATAGTCATTTTTGTGTTACTTTAATTAGAGTTAATACAAACGTTTTAAAGAACATTTCGATATGCAAATAATATAAATACGTGATAAGGTTTTAACCTTCATATGTATTTCATATTATTTCGCGTGATATTCTAAGTTTGTATTATGTTATTGATCTATCAAGAAGTATACCAACTTTTGCGGTTCAATCTGAAATGAAATGGTTATCTTTTTGGTTTTTACATTAGTGGGCACATAAAGCCTTGTGTGGTTTCGACCTCCCTAGTGTTATCACCTAATTAATATTTACTTTAACCACAAACCAGTATTCTGTAGGCATGTAAAGCCTTGTGTAGTTTCAACTTCCCTGGTGTTGTAACCGGATTTATGAACATTCAAATAAGAGATAGGATTGCAAAGGCTCTTGAGTTACTTGCTACATTTAATGTGAGCCTCTTCTGTAGAAACGGTTTTTTGCCAAAAAAAAAAAATTCAACCTGTGAATTAGTACACATAGATTCCTGTATAATACAATAATTAAGTGAACACTTTATATATGAAAAATTGTCATATTAAAATATTTATTTGATGAATTGCAAAACTTTATTAATTTTCTAGTTATACAGCGAATCAGAAAATACTAGAGAAGCGAATGAAATTTATGATGCTATCAAAGGAGGGAGAAAGTATGCAGATCCTAGGCCATTTAATCCAGCATCAAGTTATTTCTTCACTCTCTCATATTTACGAAAACTATCTATAACTAATTTGTTTCTACTTTTACTGCTAATTACGTGATTCTTACCCCCATACTCTTTTACTATACTAGATTTCCGAAATAAATTATTCCACCTATATCTACCTGCAACTTCCACAAGATTAAGTAATTTTGAATCTATAGCATAAATTCAGTAATTATCAACTAAGGTAAAAAAAATAATGCAAGACATTTCCGATACCACTTATCATTATAATTAATTTTCACAACGTTCCAATTGATTACTTTAACATTTTCTAATATACCGCGCAAAACTTTTGTTGTGCCATTGCATGTGACGAGATTCATGTAAGTAATTTCACTGTGTCTATTGTACGCGTGATGATGGTCAGTGATTTTCTCAGCGAAAATCAAAATGCCAAAAATTGTTATTTCCAGAGGTCTGGAAGGAGAGACAGGATTTTATTTTTTATTATATCGATTAGCAGTTTGGATTGATGACGCAAAGTAAGTTTGAATTTTTGTTTTATTTTTTGTTTTTCTTTAGCAAGGCAGATAAAAGGGTTCACTAACCGGGACATTACCTTTTTATATAATTTGCAGGATTAATTTTGGAATACACTTTTAGGGGAGATTACGTTAATATGATCACATCACGAAATCTGATCAACAGATTCATAATAAAAACTTTGACGCTACCCATATACAAAGATCAACAAGGAGATCTTATTTGTTGTGAACTTTAAAAAAATGCGGGAAATTTCGAGAATAAATTACATGCATTTACTTAGATCTCACTTTTTTTATTCACCATACATCTATCTCTATATTCCACGAAAAATATTCTTGATACAATTTATAGCCTTTTCAGCTGAATTCTTTATTAATGTAGTAAATAAATTACATGATTTGGCTCGTAAATGTGATACATGACGCACTTTGCTAAATTTTTTATACTTAAATATACAGTAAAACGTTACTACATTCGTCAGACAAGATTTTATTTTCACATGATTATTTTGGATGATCGTAAATTTGAAATTTATTAGTATGTAAAATATACAAAAAAAAATGAATTAATATAAGGTTATTGATTATAGAAGATCAATACTTTTGAATGCCAGACAAACAAACTTCTTAATTTTTCGTATCCTTTCTGGAATAACGATTTCAGGTTTTTCGTCGTATCATACTTCAAGAAGAGAAATTTCATTATCTTGACATATGCATCATTTTTGCCGATCATAATTAATGATGTCTTCAAGTTTTTTGACATCCTTATACCAGCCGATGCTATAAAACCGATGCTGTTTGTACCTCTAATGCAATTAATATTTTTGGAAGAAGGCATCAAGTTCAAGAAAGAAGGGTGATATTCAATCATAAGTATTTCACTAAGAATTTCCTTAGCTATCTGGATGCATCTAGTCTGAAATTTGCGATTTTTCTTAATTTTTGATTCTTTTTTTAAGTTCATTGAAATACCACTCTAGCTCTATAATTCTGGCCTTGAGTTCAGCATTTTCAGCATCACGTCTAAGGTTACTTGTCTAAACTCATTTTGGATTTAGCTAAACGGTAAAACCTTTAGTTTCACTAAATTTTTACTAAGTGTTTGATATAGTTTCGCCATTTTTATAAGCTTTGATA